GGGGGGGGGGAGCCCCCCTGCCACACCTGATGGTGGCAGGGCTCCAGAGGTGATGGCTCCCAGCGCGTGGCTTCAGCCTGGAACCGCTCGTCACCCGTGGTCCTCTCAAAGGGGACACGTGGGGGGATCCCCAACTCTGGAGGGGAGGTCCCCAGCTCCTCCGGGTGGGTACCGAGGCCCAGCCACCCGAAAAACCTGGCAGCGGCGCAGAGGAGCAGCAAAGCCCGGCAGCTCTGCAGCAGCATGACGGGGTCCTGCGGGGAGAAAAGGGGTGGGGAGCACCCAGAGGCTGGGAGAAACCCCCCCAAATCCGGGGAGGGGTTTGGGGGACCCCCCCCCATGGAAGGGATCCCCCCAATACACCCAGGGGTACCAGGGCCCTCGGCTGCAGCCCAGGGGCGATGGGAAGGGCGATGGGAAGGGCTGGGGTCCGCCTCCCCCCCCTTTCGCCGGCGTGATGGAGGCGGTGGAGTTGCGAGTGGGGTTCGGGGGGGCCGGGCGGATGGCGGGAGGCCTGGCCCGGGGGCTGCTGCGGGCAGGTACGGGCAGGTACAGGCAGGTGCCAGGGAGGGGGGGGGGCACAGCCCTGTCCTTCCCCCACGGGTGTCCCCTCCCCAGTGTGGGGACGGGCCCTGGCCACGCTCCTGGGAGATGAGATGGCCCCTGATTTTTGGGGTCACCTCCCTTGTCACCGGGCAGGTACAGGCAGGTACAGGCAGGAGGGGGGGGGTGTCCCTGCCCTCCGTGGAGTCCCCGCCCTCCGTGGGGTCCCTGCCCCCACAGATCAGTGTGGGGGCATGGGGACAGCCCCGTCCTGCCCCACTCCTCGGGGGTCTCTGCCCCACGGAGAGCGGGGGCACAGCCCTGTCCTTCCCCCACGGGTGTCCCCTCCCCAGTGTGGGGACGGGCCCTGGCCACGCTCAGAAGCTGGGAGATGGCCCCTGATTTTTGGGGTCACCTCCCTTGTCACCGCACTGTGGTACATGGGGGCGCTCAGGACGGGCTGGCAGGATCGGGCCCCGGCCCCCAGGCTGATCAGGATGGGGTTGGAGAAGAGGAGAACATCCCGGCTGAGATCGGGGTGCCCAGGTTACGCTGGGGTGTCCCCACCGCCTTGGGGACACCCCGGCCGCTCACCCCGCTCCCCACGTTCCCCAAGGGAAGGTCCCAGCCAGCAGCATCCTGGCCAGCGCTCCCTCGGACAAAAACCTGGACGCTTGGAGGGTGAGTGGGGACACAGGGTGACAAACCACCCCGCTCGGAGGCCGGGGAGGTGGGAAGCATGTTGGGGTGCCCCTCGCCACGATTTCGGGGCACACTTTTCCCCCCACGCAGGGCTTTGGCTCATCCTTCCCAAGTCTGGGTGAAATCCAGGTGGCTTTGCAGCCAGAGCGGGTCCCCAAGCCGTGTCGCCGAGCCGTGTCCCCAAGCCGTGTCCCCGCATGCGAATGTGCCTTGCCCGTGGGGGTGCGGGGTGCCAGGCTCTGACGCCTCCCCCTGCCCGCGGGCAGGAGTCGGGCTGCCGGACCACGCACTGCAACCTGGAGGTGCTGCAGGAGAGCACCCTGGTCTTCCTGGCCACCAAACCCCACGTCCTGCCGGGCGTCCTGCAGGAGATCCGTCCTGCCGTGGGACCCCACCACGTCGTCGTCTCACTGGTGGCTGGCGTCACCCTCCAGACACTGCAGCGGGTGAGCCTCCTCCTCTTCTTCCTCCTCCTATTTGCACCTGGGCTTGTGGAGAAGGACACGCTGCTGTGGCTCTGTCCCCACCTGGGTTGCATCCCCAGGTCCTTCGCCATGGACCGTGCTTCTCATGATACCCACCGGTGTCTCAGGACACCCTTGGGTGCTGCCCGGAGCTGGCACCTCTCTCCCATCCCCATCTCTCCCCAGCTTCTCCCCGCCGGGACCAAGGTGCTGCGGCTCATGCCCAACCTGCCGTGCGTGGTGCAGGCAGGGGCAATGGTCTTCGCCCGAGGCAGCGGTGCCGGTGATGGGGAAGCCGCCCTGTTGAAGAGCCTGCTGTCCTCCTGCGGGCTCTGCGAGGAGGTCCCCGAATCCTACATCAACATACACACCGGCCTCAGCGGCAGCGGGGTGGCCTACGTAAGCACCCACGCTCGGCGGGCACCGGCTCACCGGCGGGATATGGGATGCCGGCAGAAATCTCACCCGCGTGGGGTTGGGGTTTGGGGTCCCCCCTTGCACCACGCTCATCCCCGATGCTCTTCTCCCCCAGGTCTACCTGTTTGCCGAAGCCTTGGCGGAGGGAGCGGTGAAGATGGGCATGCCGGGCGGCTTAGCCAGCAGGATTGCGGCTCAGACGCTGCTGGTGAGTCGGTGCTGTCGCTTGGGGACACCCGGCATTGCTCTTCTCCCTCCTGCCCCGCAGCTCCCACCCGGCTTGGGCACCCTGCCACCATTGCTGCCCAGGGCTCTGCGGCACCCAGCAGGGTGGCAGAGCGAGGGAGGAGGTGCTGGATGGCCTCTTGCCTCAGTTTCGCCTCTTGAAACCAAAGATGAGGCCACCAGGAGACAGCAAAGGGCATGGCGGTGGGACAGATGCTTCGGCGCCTTGTCCCCCACCACGGAGCGTGGGCGATGGGAGGATGCTGCCATCCAATCCCCGGGCAAGGAGACGGGGGTTTGAGAGGTCCCCTTCTCTCTGACCCACCCTGGTCTCCCGTAGGGTGCAGCGAAGATGATGCTGGAGACGGGGGAGCACCCAGCGAAGCTGCGAGGAGACGTCTGCACTCCCGGGGGCACCACCATCCACGCGCTGCACCAGCTGGAGAAGGGTGCGCTGCGGGCCACTGTCATGAACGCCGTGGAGGCGGCCACCAACCGGGCATGCGACATGGCCGAGGACTAGCGGTCTGGCTGCAGATGAGCCTCTCTGTCCTGTCCCCCATGGGGCAGGAGGGGCGATAGGGACCAGACTGAACCCCTTCAGGGAGCAGGGGGACCCTGACATCCCCAGGAGACCCTGGCTGGGGGTGGGAGATGGCGTGGACCCACGTGGACCCATGTCCACGCCACGTGCTACCTCTGCAAGGCTGGGACCAAATAAACGTGGGCAGCACGATGGCAAGCTTGGCTCTTTCTGGTCCCTTCCGTCCTGGGGGGCTACTGCACCCAGTATGGGGTCACCTCCACGGGGAGGTGACAGCCATGGGCCCCTGGGCCAGCAGGGATGGAGCTGATGCCACGCTGGCTCTACGCTCACCGGTGCTGTGCCAGGATGTATGGCACTGGGGACAGGGATGGGGACGGAGTTTTGGGGACGGGTTGATCCCAAATCGAGCCTGCTGGGGCTGGGCAGAGTGGCCGCATCCCTGCACCGGGAGGCGAGGAGCGTCGCAGGTGCCGTGAGGATGCCAAGGGACCTTGGGAAGTGGGGAGCTGGCAGGATGATGCTCTCCAGGTGAGCACAAAGGCTTTGATTTCCCAATGCCAAGCAGGGATGCTTGGTGCTTGGGTTACACCTGGGCACCGACGCCTACTTGACTCTGGAGATGCGTGCACGAACACGGAGCTGCTATCCACGTCCCAGAACCACGGGCGAGAAGTCAACCAGCCGAAAAACCTCCACCTCCCACCCCGGCCAGGCACCAGCATTGCACCACGGTCCTGCAGACAGGTCTTGCTCTGGCAGCAAGGCAGCGGGATGGAAGCCCAGACCCGCGCTCAGCCCCAAGGTGCTGCACATCAAGGGAGTAGAAACTCAAAGCTTGCCAATCTGGAGAGCATCTGAGCCTTTTGCATGCCCTAATTAAGCTTTGTTTGCCTGCCGGCACCTGCACGGATGCAATTAGTGATGATTTGCGAAGCGCTTTGAAGATGAAAGGCTTTTTCCGGGCAAAACATCGCTGGTGAAACAGCTGGATGCTGAGCCTCCGGCTCCTACGGCTTTGACCTCGTCCCCAGGGATGCCGTCACCCCAGATGCCAGTGGCACCAAACCAAGAGAGATGCCACAGCCCTGTGGCGCTGTTGGGTCACGCCAAGGCGTGACCTCCATGGGCACCTTCTTGAGGCACCTAATTAATTAGCAAAGCTGTACAAAAGCTGGAGATGGAGCTCGAGCCTGCCTGTCTCTCCTGCCCATCCCTACGCTTCGCCGTGTAGCCAGGGAAGGGGCTCATGGTGCAAGGAAGCAGTGGTCCTCAAGTTTTCCAAGCCACCTGGTAGCTCCTTTGTCCTTCTTCTGCCTGCTTTTATCCCTGCCCTGTCCCCAGGTCCCCCCCCCCGAGGTGATTCTGCCGATCTCTCTGAAATATGCAGCCTTCTGATTTCATTCTGGGGCGTCTCCATCTCTTCTATGTCCTCCACACCACTCTTTAACCTATCTGGCCAAAAAGCCTTGGCCAAATCCAGCCCCACCGCTTGTGAGGCAGCTGACCCCAGCCCCTGCCCATTCCCCATCTCCATGTGTCCTCCTAAAGGCTTTTGAGCTTTGGGTTTTCAGGTTGTCTGTCAGAGAAGCGGCACGTTCAACCCCAAAGCCAGGATGCTGATGACCGTCATCATTTTGCTAAGTGCTAGTTTTAACAAAAATGGCTTAAATTCCATTAATTTTATTTAAAAAGCCAGCACTCACTGCAGGTAAATTATTGCTACTTCTAGTACTCCTGCCTTCAGGAGAGGCATCTTATCTTGCCCAGTGAGATCATGGAGCAGATGCTCCTGGAAGGCACGTCGAAACATATGGAAGACAGAGGTGATGCGAGACAGCCAACATGGCTTCACCAAGGGCAAATTGTGCCTGACAAAGGTAGTGGCCTTCTACGATGGAGTGACTGCGTTGGTGGACAAGGGAAGAGCTACAGATGTCATCTACCTAGACTTCTGTAAGGCCTTTGATATGGTCCCACACAACGTTCCTGCTGCTAAATTGGAGAGATACGGATGGATAGGGGTTTGGATATGGACAGATGGATGGATATGGGTTTGATGGATGGACTGTTAGATGGATCAGGTATTGGCTGGATGGTGGCATCCAAAGAGTTACAATCAATGGCTCAATGTCCAAGTGGAAACCGGTAACGAATGGTGTCCCTCAAGGGTCTGTACTAGGACCAATACTATTAAATATCTTCATCAATGACATACATAGACGGTGGGATCGAGTGCCCCCACAGCAAGTTTGCAGATGACACCAAGCTGGGCGAAGCAGTTGATTCCCTTGAGGGAAGGGATGCCATCCAGAGGGACCTTGATGGGCTGGAGGAGTGGGCCCAGGTGAACCTCATGGAGTTCAACAAGGCCAAGGGCAAGGTTCTGCACCTGGGTCGGAGCAATCCAGCGTGGGCAGCGGGGCGAGGGAGGGGATTCTGCCCCTCTGCTCCGATGTCCTCAGACCCCCCTGCAGCCCTGCCTCCAGCTCGCGGGTCCCCAGCACCAGACAGACATGGACCTGTTGGAGCGGGGCCAGAGGAGGCCACGGAAATGGTCCGAGGGCTGGAACCCCTCTGCTATGGAGAAAGGCTGGGAGAGTTGGGGTTGTGCAGCCTGGGGAAGAGAAGGCTGCGGGGAGACCTTCTTGTGGCCTGTCAGTGCTTAAAGGGGGTTGGTAAGAAAGATGGAGTTAAGTTTTAAACTGAATGAGAGTAGGTTTAGATTGGAGATATGGAAAATATTTTTTACAATGAGGGTGGTGAGACACTGGCCCAGGTTGCCCAGAGAGGTTGTGGATGCCCCATCATTAGAAGTGCTCAAGGTCAGGTTGGATGGGGCTGTGAGCAACCTGGTTGAAGATGTCCCTGCTCATGGCAGGGGGGTTGGACTGGACGATCTTTGAAGGTCCCTTTCAATGCAAACCATTCAGTGATTCGATGTTCTCGCCTCCCCAAACCAGGCCAAACGGTGCCATGAGTGCGTCCAGGCTGACCTACAGGAGAAGACCTCCAACCTGGTACCTTCTGCTGAGCTTGGCAACATTTTTCTCAAACAACTGAAAACTCCTTTAATTCACAAACTACTGCTTGACGTAATGTTTTTGTAGAGGTTTTTTGGTGCAAAAGATCACAAAAATAAACGTGGTTTTACATGATTACATCCCATTGGTGGATAAAAGTCTGCTTTCAAGCATGGCAGCATCGAGGCCCAAACACATACCATTAGGAAACCAAAGCTAAGGGAGAAACTTGAAATGGGTGAGACACCACGCAGCATGCTGGCTGTGAACGTGGCAGAAGATGAACACCAGAAATTGAGGTTGGTTGGGTTTGCAGGGGAAAAAAAAAGTGCATTTCTCCCCTAATCCGAAGCATTTCTTGACATTGGTTCTGCAGTGGAGTTTCAGGATTGGAAGGGACAAACCTCAGCTCTAAATTTGACTTTTTGTGGGTTTTTTTTCCTTGCTGCTCCCTAAATTTCCTGGCAGGCTCATTTATTAACGTGTTAATCCTACTAATAAAGTAAAAAAGTCAATCTGGGGAGCAGACGCAGTGGCTCGGATGCCTGCCTGGCCCTGCCGCGTTAAATGGGCTGCGGAGAGGCAGGGAACACGATGGAGAAGATCACACCGAGAGGACACAACCGCACGGAGGTCCCCCTTGTGCCTCCTCCCCTCCATCCCACTGGGATGGCTCCGCGTGACCGTTTACAGACAACAACCCCAAAGCGGGAATAAAAATCCATTTAATTTTCAATAAACTCTGAAGTTATGAGACAAAGACCCGACAAGTAAAAACACCCACCCTGGCTGCTGACACGGGGCACGGCAGCACTGATGAGTTGGGTTTTTTCCCTTCTTTCAATAATTTGGCTAAGCAGGCTAAAATTTAATCCAGATCAGGTCAAGAGCTTCTAAATTCACATCTGATGCCTCTGGTATTTCAAGGCAGCGCCGGGAGCCCTCCCTGCTCCCGTCTCAACTCGCGATGCACGTCATGCTGGCAGCCGTCTCCCCTGCATCGCGACACACGTCCTCCAGCCCCAGCCACCCCGCAAACCCCGGGGGAGGCACCTCAACCCCCAACCCCGGAGCCTTTGGCTTCGCGAGGATGCTCGGATGATGGTACCTGTTTCAGCAGGTCTCCGTGGTCTGGGTGTTCCCGGGTGCGGGACTGTCATGGGAATGATGGAGGTGACCCTCTCCGGGGAGCTGCTGCTTCTTGGATGCCACCCAAGTGTCCCAATCCAGTGCATGAAGAAAGTTGTCTTAAACCAGCCCCAAACCTCTCCAGTTTAACAGGACTCTGTTTTGGCAGTGGGAAGGGCATCACCAGCCTCTTCCAGGGCAGAACGTTTGCCTTACAGCACCCAAGGAGTGGTCCCTGTCCAGCCGGCTGTGCCGACCTCAGCCCCGCTCCGAGATGTGGGGAATTACTTAGCGTAACTTCCCCCATCATCCCGGCTCCTCGCAGTGACGCCAAGCAGGTCCCTCCTTCGCCCCTTCTCCCCACGGGGTCGGGGGGACCGGGCAGCGTGGGGGGCATCCACTCCCTTCTAGCGGTGCCAGCGACCAGGGGGCCACCCCTGCTCAGTCTCATGGGATTTAAAAAAATAGCACCTCCTAAATATACTTAGGGCGAGGAACAACCCTCAAATATGCAACGTACGGAGGGGTTGTTGCATAAAAAAGCCCCGTTAGCCCTAAATTGTAACCCTCCCCTTAGCCGTGGTAACCCAGGGGCGTCTGGGCCTCCTGAGCCCTGGGGACTGCCCGTGACGGAGGGGTGCGGGGAGCTGGCACCTCCACCGCCAGCCCCCTGGGACAACCAGGGTGTCCCCAGCCCCGTGTCCCCCCCCACCCCAAGCAGGGCGGTTGGTAGCCAAGAGGTCACGGGTCACCCTGCCCTAGGAATGGGGGCTGCCGCCACGGTGCAGCCGTTGGGCCATGCTGATGAGGGAGCGGAGCTGCACCAGCTTCAGCGGCCCAACTTGCCGGGGGTCCTGACCCTCCAGCCAGCGCAGAGCCGTCTCCAGACCTTTGATGGCTTCCCGAGCCGTGGGCAGCAAGGCATCCCCTCCTTCCCCACCCCTTCTGCCACCCCCATCTCCGGCAGCTGCCTCCTCCTCATCCTCCTCTACCCTGCAGCCCCCAGGCCCTTCCTCCTCAGCATCCTCTTCCCCATCGTCCTCCTCTGTACCCGGGGCCGCATCATCCAAGTGCAACCAGTCGGCCACCTCCTCAGGAGCCAAGCGCTTGTAGGCCAACGCGGCCAGGTGGGTCAAGTCGCTAAAGACTTTGCTGTCCCCGCCGCCTTCCTCCCCACGCTGGGGGTCTCCGTGCTCTTCCTCCCCGGGCTGGGGCTCGAAGGCGGCGCGCAGCCCCAGCAGCCAGCACTTCTCAATGGAGCCGGGGGGGATGAGGTCCCAGGAGAGGCCGGCCAGGTACAACATATCCTTGAGGAGGAAAGACCGCACAAAGTCCATGGGGCCACCAGAGCCGCCACCGCCGCCGGCTGCGCACGAGACGGCCAGGCGCAGCAATTCCCGCTTGTAGAGCTGCTTGAAGGCAGACACCACCCCCTGCTCCAGCGGGGCCGGGATTCGGCCTCCTCCTCCAGCCGAGCCGCTCCCGGCAGGGCCCTTGGAGAGGAAGAGGGCGCGGATGGAGCCGTCGGGTGTCTGCAGTGGGGGGGATTCCTCAGGGCCCGTCCCAGAGGGGGGTGGTGGGGAGCTGAGCAGCAACACGGCCTTCTGCTGCAGGCAGCTCCGACGCAGATAGCGCTTTACGCCCGGCACGAAGTCCTCAAAGAACCAAGCCCGGAGAAGGGCCGGCCCCAGCCTGGCTTCGGGGCTGTAGCGGTAGCAAGCGGGGAATTTGTCCTGGTTGTGATGGCGGAGGCTGGGGGGATCGCGAAGGCCCCCGACCACCAGCGGCTTGAGCTTGTGGGAGCCGGTCAAATTGGCAGCCAGCAGCACGGTGACCCGCTCGCGGGCAGCCGGCCGCCGCCGTGCTGTTGCCGTCACCGTGCCGGCCTGCCCCGGCAGCAGCTTCCAGTAGAGCCCAGTGACGTTGGCGTTGTAGATCTGCTCATCGCCGTAGCCCCCGGCATCAGCAGCCGGCATTGGCAAGGTCTCGGGGCAGGCGGCCGGAGCCCGCTCGGGCTCGGCGGGGAGGCCGCCCTCACCGTAGATACGCTGGCTGGAGATGCCGTGACGCTTCTGCCAGCGCCAGAACCAACCGTGGCTGGCCTTGAAGGTACACTCGGGACCGTAGATCTGTCGAGCGAAGGCCTCGGCTTGGGCTTGGATGAGGGGTCCGGAGAGGGGGACACCGTGCTGGCGGAGGGCGAGGAACCAGGCGTAGACGGCGCGGTCAATCTCCTCCTCGTTGGCCAAGCGCATCTTCTTGCGTTGGGTTCCCACCTCACCCCCCAGCTGCTCCAGGAACCACCGGAGCTTGGCTTCGTCCTTCAGCCAACCCCTCAGCGTACCCCCGGGCACCCCGAAAGCCCGGCACACCGACGCTTGCCGTTCTCCCTTCTTCACCCTCTCGATGGCCTGTAGCTTGTCCTTGATGGAGTAGGCCCGACGCAACGCCATCTTCACCGATACCCCCCCGGCTGCATTGCTACCACCCCGTCGCCCTCCCGCCATACCGGCCGGCCACCCACCCGCCTCTGCCTCCCCCCCGCGCA